GGAGAGTCTCCAGACTGATCTGCGAGTGAAACCTTGAAAGCTCGCGAGATCAGGATGGTCTCACGTGGCTAACGAGGGGCAGCCAACACTGACCTTTGAACCGGACGGGTCAGCCTTCACCTAAACTTCATGTATCTTAGATGCAAGCGTGCAAAAACAGAACAGAAAATCACATTTCTAAATCAGCCCAGTGGTGAGTTGTTCTGTTTTTGTTTGTCTGACCGCCATTGTGGAAAACGACTGGTGAAGATGGAGCAGCTAGCAGAGCGAGGTGCGAGAGAACGCTGGGACCCTTTTTCCACCTGGATCCCCGCTCTTTTTGGCCCTCATGTCCCTCCGTTGTTGCACAGACTTGCCCCCACTTCCTCACCGCCTCGGCCGTATCTAGACCCACAGCTAGTTCCTGATTGGCCCTTGCGTTGTGGCGTGGAATAACAGCGCAGACCACGCTTCAATATTGGACATAAATCAAACATATCTGCGACACACTGCTGCGGGACGATAACCAGGCCTTTAAATGTTAAATCAACAGACTCCGCCCCTTTAAATCAGCCAGTAGTCTTCCAGGACCGCTGAGGCTGACGGTTCTGGTCGGATTTAACCCAGACCCTTTGAATAGCGGTTTGAACGACTACCTGGATCAACCAAACATCCCGTAATAAGCTGATGGTTCCGGAACAAATCTGTTCATCAGTCATGATGATGATGATGATGATGATGGTCTCACCTTCTCCCACATCCTGGCAGGAAACGCCGCTCTCTCGATCACCTTCATGTAGAGGAAACACTGACCTGGAACAGAAAACGGACTTGTTAACGCTCCGCCCATCTGGCGCCGCCGATGATGATGATGACGCAGCTTCACCTTTCTCCTCCCTGATGGTGGCGTACTGGCTGTTGGCCAGCGGGCAGGCCGAGCGGTTGCACTGCCCCGTCAGGTTGAACTCGTTCCGACAGAAGTTCTGGCCCTTTGTTCTGAGCGGGAAGAGGGACACAGAGGACCGTTAGGGTTCTGATAGATCCAGAACCAGAACCTTCAGAACTTATTGAAGCTGAACCCGATGAACCGCTCCTCCAGAAGCAGAAATAAATCCAGCAGGTCGAGATGGAAACAGAACATTTATCACAGAACCAGGGTCCAGAACCAACACTGATTTAAAAGTGCAGGAGGTAGTTTTTATGCAGATCTGGACGAATCGGATCAAACTCAACCGTTTGGGTTTCAGTTATTTTCTTCTATGGATCGAACAGAATCTAGAAAATGATCATCTATAGCAGTTCTGCAATAAAAGTATGTATGCTGGTCTGACGGGGGGGTATGTTGGTCTGACGGGGGGGGCATGTATGCTGGTCTGATAGAACACCAGTCCGGTCCAGACAGATCCATTTGTGGGAGTTTCGGACTTACTTGACTTTGAAGGAGCAGAACTGCTTGTTTCCGATGATGTCCCAGATGACCTGCAGGGAGCAGAACAGAATCAGAACCAGCAGAACCACCTTTAACAGACAGAGAGGTTCTGATCTACATCTGAAGGACCCTCCAGAACTCCTCGATTGTTCAGATCTTTCTTCCTGTGATCCGGATCAGGAGTTCTGGACGGGATTCTACAACCGGAACCAACCAGGAATCCAGCAGCAAACAGAAACAACAGAACCTCGGGAACTGGATCCATGTTTTCAAAGATGGACTTTTAGTTCCCCGGAAATGAGCTTCATCTGAATATTCAAAACCACCTGATTTATTTCCATTCAATGCTTCAGATTCCTTTAACTGTGGTGTTGGTGGCATCGAACCGGGAAATAAATCCACTAAAGTTCTGTTTGATTGGATCAGAACCTTTGGGAAACACTGATAACTGATCCGGTATCATTTAGATCGGTTAGAGGCAGTTTGAAGCAGTTTAGCTAACGTTAGCCTGTGGCTAAATGCTACATGAAATTAGCCCCAGAGGAGCCGATAAACTCACGTCGTCGTGCTGCATCCTGACTTCCTGTCGGTTCCTCTCAGGCACTCAGCGGGCTGGTTCCGGTCCAATTCAATCCGTTTCTTTAATGTCAGTGAGGGATTGATGTTCGGAGCCACATGGACCATCAGAAGGACACCATCTTTGTTTAGCTGCAGATCTCGCGCTACGTCACAGACACGGACAGGAAGTATCGCGATACTTGGTCACATTCGGGATAAGCGCTGCAGCGTCACTCTCAATTAATATCCATTTTTTGTTAATTCTGATTTTATTAATAAAAAGAAAAGAAAATAAACAAACCCATGAAATAAATTAAACAGTAGATTAGGTTCGATCAAAGCATAAATACTAAAAGAAAGAAGTACAATTTCGAGTGAACAATCTCCAGGGGTCGGAATAAAAATGATAATAATAATAAAAAAAATAAAAGTAAAAGTAGTGATAGTGATTAAAGGAAAGACAAATTTCACTCAGCTGGATGTTTTCAGGCCTTTGTTTCTGTTGATGATTTC